CCTGGCCCCCGGGCAGGGTCCCTCTCCCACGCACTCCGCCTGTGCTGAGCAGGGCCCGCCGAGTCCCCCCTGACTCCCCGGGGCAGGAACACGAGGGCGGAGGCCTCGGCCCGCCGCAGACAGGGGGGTCCAGGCCGGGGTCCACGGCCGCTCCCTGCACGCCCCCCCCCGGCGGCGAGCAAGGGCAGCGGGGCACCGGCCTCCCGCAGCTGCGCCCCTCGAGACCCAGCCGAGCCCGGCTCTGCCCGCACTCAACCCGCCGCCCGGGCCGGGGAGAGGGGCCAGGCCCGCCAGGGAGCCCCCGAGGCCCCGGGCTCCAGGGAAGGTCGGACCCCGCTGCCGCCCGGCCCGGCCCGGCCCCTCTCACCTCTCCAGGCCGGCGCCCCTCTCCCCCGCCGCTCGCTTCCGGGCCAGGCCGCGCCGCAGCCTCGCGGCCCGATTGGCGGCTGCAGCGCCGCGGAGGCAGGGCCGGGGCCAGGCGAGCCCGGCCCCTGCTGGAGAGCGCGGGGAAGGGCCGGGCTGGGACCGGCCCCCACATCTCCCTCCCCGCAGGATCCGGCCTGGCTGGGGCTTGATTTCCAGCAGGGGACACCCCCAGCCCCCCATGTCACTGCCCTGGGGCAGCCCCCCGGGATCCCTGTTTGCGCTGCAGGAAACTCTGCGGTGTCTGTAAAAGCAGCCAAAAGTCCTGTGGCACCTTATGCCTAGCAGATGTATTGGAGCATGAGCTTTCCTGGGTGAATGTCCACTTCGTCGGATGCTGCGGTGTCTGTTAGCTCCGACCCGGCTGGACTTCGGGGCTTCGGTGCAAAGAACTCCCCTCAGTCAAAATCACACACACACACCCCTTCCCTCCGAGCCCTCTCCAAACCTGGGCAAGCCCTGGCCCAACCTGGGCTGGGATTCAACCCCAGGCCGTGGGCTGGGAGCCAGATTGCAAACGGAGACCTGGTGCTCCGGGCCCCTGACCGGGTTGCCAGGCGTCTTGATGCCATCTCTCCCTGGTCCCACCCGCCAGGCACCAGTGCCAGGTTCTGCGTGTGGACATTTGATCCAAGCTCTGCCGTGGGTCCAAACCAGCCACACCGCTTGGGAACAGGGAGGGAGGGAAGGTGGGTATCTGTCTATCCAGGCCAGGCACCGGGGGGATGGCAGAAGGGGATTGTTCCCGCAGGGAGCTGGGATGCGGTGGGACACCCTGGCCAGCTGGCTTGAGGATTCTCCTCCTCGTTGCGAGGGCCGGTTCTTAGACTCCAGCCAAGGCCGTCTTCAGCGCTGGCCCCCTGCCCTTTCACCTCGCTCCCTGTCACTTCGGATGGCTCCTCGTGGTCTAATCATCGAGCCACTCCGACACCCGCCCGGGAGCTGTGTTTGCTGACAAGGGGTGAACCTTGGGGCTACTCAAACAGCTGGTTTGCCCAAGGATGTAGCTCTCTGGTTGGAGACAGTCCCTCGAAACCACCCGAACAGCTTGGGAGTGAAAAGCAGGCTGGGCTAAGCCTCTCAGTCCCGACCCCCAGCCCTCCCCCCCCCAGCGGTTCCAGCCCTGCGCTCCCCGATTCCCAGCCCTGCTGCTCCCTCTCAATACAGAGCTCTGCACAGCTCCTGGGGGCTCAGGCAGGAGGCACTCGCTAGAGCTCAACTGGTAAAGCTGCTCCCTGCAGACGCTGTCAGGAGCCCCCTTCTAGTCTCAGCCGTGGTACCATTCAGGGCCGAGCCCTCTGCTAATAAAGTCTGTTCCAGTGACCGCTTGCAGCAGACGTGGCAAGCCACCTCGCAGCATCGTGAGTTGTGTAGGAGAGATGCACTCAGCTCTGCATCTTCCCCAGCATCCTGACAAGCCACCTCGCTCCTGCCCCCAGAGCAGAGCAGCGAGTCCCCACCGTCATGAGCTGACTCCAGACTCAGCCCTCCCCTTCCCTTAAACCAGACAAGAACGTGAGACACGGGACACGAAGGGTCAAAGGTGAGACTAGCACCGGCTGGGAGAATGGTGCCAGGCCCAGAGTAATCAAAGAGTCGTCTTTATTACAGTACGGCTAAGTTTGTTACAATAAAAATGAAACCACATGTCACAGTCACTGTACAGTATTGTTTGTCTTACAGAACTTACAAGTGGAAGGGCTTCCTCTTCCAGGCACATTGCTAAGAACTAAAGTGTGGACGGAGGCAGAGAACAGGTGAACCGAGCTGATGGTTGCTTTCCTGGCCAGGATGGTAACAGCAGCGTTCAGAGAGTATTGGATGCTGACCAAGGAGTCTCCTGCCTTTCCCCTCCCCCAGCTGGGCCAGAGCTCACGCTGTTGGGTATTTTTTTCATGATTCTCTGTTCCAGAATATGCTGGTTGGATTCCCCCCTCCTTCCCTTTAAACATCTATTTTAATGTAGTAACCCGAGGCCCTCCCAACTGGACAGGCACATAACAGAGGCCGGGGGAGGTTTTAGCACCACATCATGGTATGGATCCCATCCAAGGGGGGAAGTAAAGGCCCCAGGGTGAGTGGTGCATTGCTCTTGGTAGAATTAAGCTTTCCTCCCTCCGCCTGCCCAAGCCAGTATGCTTGTGGAATCTCCCATCTCTCAGTACCTCCTACCTGTCCCAGGTGCTACAGGGAGGTATCCCAGCATGCGCCAGGCAGGATGTCCCCTTGGGCTGAAATTTACTATTGGCGATTATTACAGTGGCGCCTGAGGGACCCAGTCAGGGATCGGGGCCTCCACAGTGCTAGGAGCTATACGCTCATGAAAAAGACCGTCCCTGCCCTAGAGATCTGGCCATCTAGGCTGTGGCTGGTGTCTCTGCTCCTTCCCTTGCTGCCCCTTTAGCCACTCTTCTTGGGCTCTTTCCTCCCCTCTTCATGTCTCAATCAGGGCGTCTCCAAGACAGCTGAGTGGGCAGGGAGCAGGAGCTGGTACAATCATGGGGTGGCGAGAAGAGGGGGGTCCCCTTGAAGGGTTTCACAGTGCAGGGGGCTCCCCAGTTGGAAGGAGGGACAAGTGAGAAGGCAGCACTGAGTTTTTACCTTGAACTTTCAGAGTGGTTGACTTGGCAACCCCGTTTTCCCAGGGCAGGACACCAGGCTCAGTGGGTGAACTCTCTGCTCCCCAGCCTTACGGACGTCAGGGCAGGTGGAACAGACTGTGCTTTGGGTGGAAGGAGGGGTCTGCACGGCTGGGAGCAGAATGAGTGAAAAGGAGAGGAAAGACGGTCCATGAGAACCAGCACGGGGCTCATAGTAACACTTGGACCATCTGATCTCCACATCCCTGGCGAGTACCCACCTTACAGGGCCCCTTTGTTCATGCCCCATCTCCCTACCGTCTCATCTGAAATCACCCCCCCCCCCATTTTGCACGCTCAGCCTGGTGGAGAAGGTGAGCATGGTGGGTAATATGAGGCGTGTACAGCACTACCTTTGGCTTGTGTGCAGGTAATGATGCGCGGAGGGGGCCATGGATAGCAGGCTCCCCAGGCACTATTCATCTACATGCTGTCAGGGGTGATGGCTACGCGCTAAAGTGGGTTCTGATGAAAGCTACCATGGCAGCCATGCCAGAAGAAGGAGGGCACTCCTCTAATGTAGCATGCGTGTGAGGACATCCCTCATGATACCCGGGAGGACAGGGCACTGCTAATGCGGTACCATGGAGGATGGGATGCCCATGGAGGAGGGGGCTCTTGTAAGGCGAATCCCATCTGCCCCTCCCACTCTCACGAGCAGGAACTCAGCCTGGGGAAGGGCAGACCCACATTCATGTCTTCAGTCTGTCTCCAGTGACAGATGGGAGCTTAGGAGTCGTGCCCCTGAGCTCCATGGGCCTCCATTTCCACATCCGCTAAGGAGAGCAGCACTTACCCCCCCTCCCAGGGGGGCCGGCGGTTAGGGAGCCGGTGCACCTGCTGGAGGTTATCGTCACTGAGGTGGTCTGAACAGAGCAGGGTCCCAATCCTCCATTGCCCCAGGGCCCATCTTTTACACCGGTGCAAAGCGGGGGTAGGCGCCACCAAACGGAATGGCCGCGTTTCACGCTCGCTTTGCTGCGAGGTAAAGGACTGCATGAGGCACAGGGTGACAACCAACAGGCCACGAGCCAGAGCCCCGCCACCATGGCAACCTCCAGTTCCACTTGCCCGTGGCTGTGCTTTTCCAAATCACTTTCCCAGCTGGCGTAAATGACAGTGACTGACCGGGGAGGGAGCTGCTGTCCCTGGGTGCTATTGGCCCGATAGAGACTGAAGGCTAATGCCTGCTGGCCTGCCCCAGTCCTTACTCAGGCTGAACCTAGTGAGGGCTCCAGGCCTTGGCCCTGCTGGACTCTCTTTGTGGCCTAGCCCGGCTGCCAGCAGCGAGGGCCGCTGCCCTGCTCGGTAGGGCACCGTGCTGCGAAGGAGGGGCCCGGTCTTGGCATCTGTGAGCCCAGATGGGTCCCTGGGACGGGAGCAGCAGGTGACACCAAAAGCCTTTCCTCAGCAGAGGACAGCGTGGGCTGCATCACTGGGTGGCTGGAGCCAAATGGAGGCTTTGGGTAGCCCCCCCAGGGCAGCTGCGGGGCAGGGAGAGGGGCTGGGGAGCGTTTGTGATGGAGGGAGAAGGCCCAAAAGGCGATGGGCCTGGCTGGCATGGGCGTGGCTCACTCCTGAGTGCCTACCGCTCCGGCTGGTTTGCATTGTCGGGGAAGGGCTTCTTTACGGGCTGGGCAGCCAGGGCCGGCATGGCCAGCCCCATTGCAGCCCGGCTGGAATAAATCCTCCCAGTCCAATGCTCAAGGGGCCGCACAGCAAGCGCAGTGTCACTTTTGCCCCGGGTGCTATTGCACAGGCGTTCTCCAGCTTTTCCGCACCAGAACCCACTCCCACCTGGCTGAGACCCCCACCCCATTCAGCACCAGGGGTTTGTGACCCTTGGGTTGAGAAGCCCCGAAACAGAGGCTCTAGGATCATCATACAGAACAGACGTGGCACGTAACAACGAACCCGCATTTTACCCCACAGGTGGCCCCCGAGGCCCTCCCCTCCCCGACATTCAGACAGGCCAGCTCTGTCCACAGAAACGTCGTCCCCAAGTACCCTCACCTGCTGGAGCTCCGTCTGTGCGGTTGACAGCTCCAAGGGTTCTCTCACCTTCCTTAACAATAGTAAATACAACACAAGGAGCCGGCACAGCAACACCCCGGAGACACAACAGCAGGTTCCTCTTCCTCCTAAGGCAAGATGGGTTGTCAATGGCACGTTCGCCATTCCCTGCCGTCTCCGCTGGCCTGGACCCTGGGGACAGCCGTGTCTTTAAACCAGATGCAGATGGGTCAGAACCAGTGCCCTGCACTTGGCTCGGGTCAATACCCTGCATGGTGGATTGGTCACTTGAAAGGCCAGGCTTGTTTCTATGCCCCATCTAACGGGAGGGGGGAAAGCAGCCAGGGAAACCCAACCCAAAAACCAACCCCAAAGACCTCAGCTTCTGCCAGACCTTGCCCTTGCCAGACAGAATCCAAACGCTGCTCCAAAGACACTTGCTCCCCCGCCCCCCAAATTTTCCCTCGAATTCCACTCCCTGGATCATCTAGTCAGACCAGCAGCTGGTGGGGAAATCAAAGAGGGATGGAAAATAAAGTGACCAGCCAAGTTTTGACCTTCTCCTGGCCTCCCGTGATGAGTGGACCCACCCCAGCGCAGGCCCAGGATTCTCGCTTGCAGGAAGGGAAAGAAAGAGAGAAAGAAAGAAGAGAAATCATAGCATATTCTTACTGACGATGTACGTGTAGGGAAAGCAGGGGCTGGTTTTGCTGCTGCCATGGATTTCCTGATGATCTGATCCCAGTCTCACCAGCAGGAACACAGCTGTGGTCATGTGTAGTTTTTGTTTTATTCCTTCGATTATATGTATATATGTATATAGGTCTATGACCATGGATTCCCCGAGGTGCCCAAGCGAGAGGCAGGGATGGGACCGAACTGTGGTCGGGGTGCGTGGAGAGACTGCCCCTCGTGCCTGCCACGGCCCAAAGCCTCATGCCAGCAAGGGAAGCTGGCCCGCCGGGCGGCCGGGAATGGTGACTTGGCAGGAGCTCAGCGGCGCTTCCCCCCGCAAGATGCTTTGTTTGCATTGAATTGAGGAAATGGGAGAAGTTAAAGGTGGCACGATCATGGGGGGAAGATACATGGAGGTGCAGGGGAGGGCCGGCCTGCCTCCCCCCCCCCCAATCAGCTGAGCTGGGGGGGGGCTCCTCCCTCTCCAGTATAAGGGGGAAAGCGGGAGAAGAGGGGGGGGCATGAGGAGAGGAGAGGGGGAAACAAAGGGGAGGGGGGCTGCAAGGAGCAAGGTACAAAGAGCTCTGAAAGGAGGCCACCAGGGAGTGTGCAGGGAAGGGGACAGGAAGGAGCTGCAAGGAGGAGGGGAGATGGGGGGCAGAAAAGGCTTCAGGGCAGACAGGGGGCTTGGGGAGAGGCCAGGGCAATGGGGAAAGGCCAGGAAGGGGCTCCTGGGCAGGCAGGGCGGGGAAGAGCCCTGCCCCACGGGGAGGGGCACGAGGGCAGGACAGAACCAGGCTCGTGTTCATTCACCGTCGGATCCATGAATCGTAGACGATAAAAAGTCGAGAAGCTGTGAGTGGGCTGAGAGCTGCCCCGGGGGGTCCCTGCGGCTCGGGCCCTGGCCATCACAGTGAGCTATGTACTCTCTCTGTACAATGCGGTAGAAAAGCCAGGGCTCTGTTCACAGCCTGGTCTGGGCCTCGGGGATGTAGATCTCGATACTGTCTGCGCTCTCGGTGGCTGAGTTCTGGCGGAAGGAGGCAGCTCTCTTGGCCGCCAGGAGCCTTTTCCTGGCTTCCTGCCTCTGTCGGTCAACGGAGTCCAGGGAGCGCTCCTTCACCGGGTGCACCTTGGAGCGCGGCGGCTTCTTTGGTATCGGGGGAGGGACCTTCTTCTCTTCCTGCGCAGACAGACAGACAGAGCAGGGCTTAGAGGGGGTTCCGGGAGGCGCTGGACGTGCCGTGTTAGACAGCGTGTGGCTGTGGCTGCATGTAACGGGTGCGCGCGCGTGTGTGTGTTCATCGGGGGGGTGGATGTATGCACAGCTGTACGATTGTGTGTGAGACCATGCAAGGGTGCGCACAGTGGGCGTGCACATTCATGTGTGTGCACGTGTCTGTGTAGGCACATCCAAATGTGTATGTGTTTGTGCATCTGTGTGCACATATTCCTATGTGTGTACATCTGTCTGTGTGTGAGACCATGCAAGAGAAGACACATTTGAGTGGGTGCCTGTCTATGCGCTCTCATACCCGCAAGAATCCGTACGTGTATGTGCAGCTATAAACAGATGTGTGCTTGCACATCCGTATGCAGCTGTGCACATCTGCGTTCATGCGTGCATCCCAGTGTTTGTGCGTACTTCTGCATCCATATCGGAGTGCATGTGTCGGCGAGTGTATACCCCCAGCTGTGTACCTATCTCTATACAGAAGAAATGGGTCAAATTCTGTGCTGACTGATGCTCCGTTCAATTCCACCAGTCCCTGGGGCTGAATGCAGTCCCTGGGGTTGAAAGTCAGCACAGGATCTAGCCCAGGGCGTGCGCACATGCTTCTTGTGCACTGTGTTCACACAAGGCAAACAAGGGCTGCATCTTCTGCCTGTGACACAGGTTGGTGATTGTGCTTGACCTTGGGAACATTCCACCAGGGTTTGAATCAGTGTGATGGATGGCAGGGCTGCCAGGCGGTGATTGGACTGGAATTGCTTTGGTTTGTCCTATGCTGTGCGTGTGTGCACAGAGTATATCTGTACCTTTGAAGATAACATCAAACAGAGGACACGCCGTAGCTGTACGTGAAAAACACAGGAGAGAAAAAGGCTCTATTTGTTTGGGTTGGTTTTTTTTAAGTGGTAACTAAAGATGCCTGTTGATTTTGCCTGGCACAGATCAGCAGCGCCAGCTCAGGAGCAGAAGTGTGCATGGAAAAAGAAGAAGTTAGCTGTGATCATAGATCTCTCATCTCCCCGACTTTTTCCCCAGGAAGTCCCTGAGACACAAGCCAGGCGGGCACATGCCTAGCAGCGACTTCTAGCTGAGCTCAGCAGAGCTCCCAGTGGCTCTGCCAAGGGGGAGACTACTTTTAGCTCACTTACACTATGTCTACACTTACAGCGGCGTGCAGAGTACAGGCACTACATGTGTCACTGCACACCGCAGGGAAAGGCACCGGTAGCAGGGAGGCAGCGGAACACTAAGTGCTAAAATTAGCAGTGTAGACGTGCGAGGCACTGCTTGGGCATGTAGCGAGCCGGACAGGGTATAGACCCGGGGGGGTTGGGTGTGTGGGGCACTCTGCTCTGCTCACCTAAGCTGTGCCTCACTGTCTACACTGCTGTTTACACCCCTGCTAGCTGGGCGCGCAGTATCTGCACTCTCCTCCACCTACCCTGAGCGGAGTCGCTCCCCCGGGTCACAAAAGGCTCCATCTGCAGGCAGGGGTCAGGACAGAAGGGCCAGGGCTTTGCTAACTGGTCCTGGCCACGCTCCCATCTCTGTCCCTCTGCTGCAGTAGCCCGGTCCTGGTCATCCCCTACCTCAGCCCCATGAACCAATGAAAGGGGAAGAAGAGGTTAATCTCTACTGAGACGTGCAATGGGGCCCAAGGTTCATCTGTTTCCTGGCCTGCCCCTTCTCCCCACAAGAGGGGGCTGAGGACAGCATCAGGGATGCAATGCAAGGAGAGAAGGCTCTACACTCCGTGATCCACACACACACTGGAGATGCCAAGGACCACAGCTTTCTCCTGGAGCTGGGAAACAGCTGGAGTGCCTCAAGACAGAGTGCTCCCTTTCAGCGCTTCACCGATTCCAGCCAGACCCATTTCTACTCCTCTTTCTCTCCATTCTTTTTGCATGACGGTGCGCGAATGCTATGGGGAACACACTCGATAGACACAATAGATACGATTATGTCCCCTCCCCTTCTCCCCCAACAAACCCTCTGCTCTTCTGCCAAGCCACAAATACACCCGCTAACAATGCCCCACATGTAACAACCTAAGAGCTGTCATATTGAATCAGACCATAGTCCACCTTGCCCAGTAGCCTGTCCCCAACAGTGGCCACACCAGAGCTTCAGGAGGAGTGTACAAAACATGGCAATTATGGAGTGATCCACCCCTGTCTTCTGGCAGTCAGAGGTGTAGGGTCATCCAAAGTATGGGGTTGTATCCCTGACCATCTTGGCTAAGAGCCACCTGATGGACTGATCCTCCATGAACTTACCCAGTTCTTTTTTTAATCTACTTATATTTTTGGCCTTCACAATGTCCCCTGGCAATGAGTTCCACAGGTTAGTTGTGCGTTGTGTGAAAAAGTACTTCCTTACGTTTGTTTTAAACCTGCTGCCTCTTAATTTCATCGAGTACCCCCAGATTTTTGTATTGTGTGAAAGGATCAAACACTTCTTTACTCACATTTTACACGCCGTTCATGATTTTATAGACCTCTAGCATATCCCACTTTAGTCATCTCTTTGCTAAGCTGAAGGACCCTAATCTTTTTGGTCTCTCCTCGTAAGGAAGCCATTTCACATCCTTGATCATCTCTGTTGCCCTTCTCTGAACCTTTTCCGGTTCCACTATCTGCTTTTTGCAATGGGGCGACCGGAACTGGACACCATATTCCAGGGGTGAGTGCACCATGGAGTCACATAGTAACATTATGGCATATGCTGTCTTTGTTCTCCTGCAGGAGGCCAATGAAAGCTGACTTTGTGCATTGTGAAGTGAGAGCCACCCCCCCCCCCGCACCCTAGCTGTACCCACCCCCCTTCTCAGCCAATTGGCACTCATGGTCTAATCCCCCTACCTTGGGCTCGATGAGTTTCCATCCGTTGGCCTTGAGCTGCTGAAGCTCCGCGAACTTCAAGCTGACGTCCTCGATGGACAGCTGCAGGAGGTCCCAGAATCCAGCCAGGTCTTGGAAGGTGGGCATGGGGAACGCATTAGGGTCCTTCCGAAGGGGGAGAAGACAAGGCGGGTTAGCTCCTTACATACCATGGGGTGCAGAGGACTCCAGGTCTTCCATCACTTCCCTGCTCAAGCTGATGAGGAGCAGAGTTGGGCTGTCTGGGCCTTAATGGATTAAAAGGGCCATTTATTCCCTGTAGGACCTTGGACTCTGCCTTAAGAGGGTCGGGGTGAGCCTCCAACCCTTCGGCTAGCACCTCCAAATGGAACCATCGCCGGCTGTGCAGAGCGTCATGTACCGCTTCAGACCCCCGGGGACCTGCTGCCGCCTCAGCCCAGTTGTCCGTCGGACAGAACACATCCCTGGGAAACCCATAAGGAAGGAGGAGGCGCTCACCATGTTCTGCTGGCAGAGTCGGAAAAACTGTTGCACCTTCTGGGACATCAGGAGCTGGGTGCTGCCCACGGCGCTCCGGATCTTCTCCAAAACTGGTAAGGCATACAGAGAATGGGTGAGGAATTTACTAATGACATGCAGCTTGATTACCTCCCCCCAATCCCCTCCCAGCTTCAGGGATGCACCATTACGAGCCCTGGAGAGTATTTCTTGCCACTAAGCCCAGCCTCCTTAACCTTTTGTGAGCCAGATGGCAGCATGTGCAGGGCAACCACTGGCTCAGGTTCCAAAGGGATACACCCGTTCCTCAGCACACGTCTGGGACACTGTGCTGCAGGAGGCATTTGGGGGATAGCCCAGGCTGGGGGATGCTGAGCAAGACTCCAGCCCCCCCAGCCCTAGGGGAATCCTGGGGTGCCCTGCACCCCTCTTCCAGTCTCACAGCCCCATCTGGACTCACTCTCCTCCGGCAGGTCGTAGTCCTCGGCCTCCCGCTCCATCTGCTGGCACCAACCTTCCATCTTCTCCACCTCAGCCTGCAGTAGCTTAATGAACCACTCCCCGTCCCGGTGGCAGGGAGAGGCCCTGCCAGAGTCGGGGAGGCTGCGGGAGCCCCTGTCGATCCAGGAGTCCCTCCGGGGCACCTCCACGGTGTCATACTGCATCTGGTAGTCCTCCCGGTAGGCCCACTGGCCCTGCGTGTGCACCGTCTTGAACACCGAGTACTGCCGGCTGGATGCATCTGGCTCTGAGGAGTGCCGGTGGAAGGGCCGCCCGAACTGCAAGGCCTTGTCCTCTGTGGCCACCGACAGGCCCGTGAAGCCTTCTAGCTCCAGGTCTGCCTGCACGCCAGCCGTCACGCTGTTTGAGCGCTTGAACCGGGCCCGCCTGGGGACAGGGAGATAAAGGGGTTATGGGGACGGACTCGCCTTCCCACAGCAGGGGGAGCAGGAGCATTGCAAAGCATTCAAACCGCAGCAGGGGGGCATCGGCACAGCTGCAGGGGCTCCAGGACTGGGATAACGGGGAGCTGTGGGTCAGGATCGAAGGGCATCGGCAGAGCTGCAGGGGCTCCAGGACTGAGATAACAGGGGGCTGCGGGTCAGGATCGAAGGGCATCCGCAGAGCTGCAGGGGCTCCAGGACTGGGATAACAGGGGGCTGCGGGTCAGGATCGAAGGGCATCCGCAGAGCTGTGTGTGGGAGCTGGAGTAGGGGGCGGGGGAGGGTCTAAGGAAACCCGCCCAGTTGGAGTGTAACCCCTAGTTCGGAGCTCACTGACTGTAAACCCCATGCATTGGGACTGCGCTGCCGCTCTGCAGTGTGACCCTACACCTCCCCACCCTGCCCAGCCGGGACCCCGCTCCCCTTGCAGGAGCAGAGCGAGGGGCCATGCTGGTTCCCATTCCGGGGAAGCTGCGCTGGGAGGCTCACAAGCTGTTGAGCTCCTGGCTGTCCGTGGGGACAGCCCGCTAACAGCCGCTTCCTCCTGTTCCCTCATTTCAGTGCCTTCTCTCCTGCTTGCGCGCGCTAGTCTGTTTCTATGGTAACCGGCCCTGGATGGATGCTGAAGGACGGGGAGAGGAACACGCGCTCAGGCCCCTTGTTAAGCAAAGAGAAGGAACATTGTAAAGTTCCCCTCAGATGCCTCGTCCTCAGTGACTCGGCCGTGGGCGGGAAGGAGCGGGGAGGCAGGGAGGGTGAACAAGCAGGTCCAGACTAGCCCAGCCTCTGAGGCGCTGTCTCTCTGAGAGGAGGGGCTTGGGTCAGAGCTGGAGGAGCCCCCATGGGCCACGTGAAGGGCCCCTTTGGCGGCCATCTCTGGGGGTCTCAACTGGATTCCACTTGGCATCTCAGCTTCTTCATCTGAGTCACAGCGACTTTCACATCACAGCCATGCCTCATACTCAGCCTTGCTCAGCCCCAGGACCAGGTCCTGATGGCCTCTGATGGATCAGAACCGGGGGCCTCTATGACGGGCAGATCCTAAACCCCAGAACCGAACCCCAGATCTGGATCAGAACCACGGGCAGATCAGCAGCTGCTGATCTGCAGGCACAACACATCTCATAGGGATCAATCCCCGAGTCACTGCTCACACCTGCAGCAAGAGGGAATCCAGGCAGCTGCAAATCCCTCAGTCCCAGCCCAGCGTGTAGGTTAACACGTGCTTTGCGGCTGGTGTTCTGGCATACCAATCAGGGCCCCAGGGTAACAAACGTGCTGATAAGAAAGTGAGCCGCTCAGGAGGGGGCCGTAACAGGGTACCAGAGCCTCTGGTACCAGAGCCTCTGGCCTCTTGGGTGCAGATGTGAATCCATTAGGAGTGAGCAAAAGTTGTGACGACTTGCTGACCTGTGTGACGTGAGTTTGCTGGACCTCCATCCATTTTGCAGCGGACGAGTGCCCACAGCACAACCTCCCTGCTCCTCACAATCAGCACCGTCTTTGACAGCTGACCGACCAAGCAGCTTAATGGTCCAGAGACTGACCTACCTACCTAGCCATCCCTAGAATGACATCAGGTCAGGGATGAGGCATATTGCTCAGGGAAGCTTGCCCGGCTGCTGCCTGCATTGCCCATTGATTTATGAGCTAGCGAGGAAACACAGCTGTACTTAGCAGTCAGCACAAGACGCTGCCGAGCTCTTGGGACGCTCCGGAGAAGAGGCGCACGTTAGGAATGTTTAGTTTGGGGGAGGCATTGTGTGAAAACAATCCAGCCGGCAAGGCGGCTGCGCTAAGCCCTGCTCCTGGAGGGATGGAGCGATAAAAGCTGCATTTAACCAGCCGTACCTTTTGTCTTCCTCCACTTGCACCCCGATGGAGTGGAATTCCCTCTGGCTCCTGCTTTCTGTGTCAGAATCAGATATAGTCTCAACCTGCGGTGGTGATCAGAGGGAGAGCATGTCGGGGAAGAATCGCTGCACAGCCTCGGGCGCAATAGACTCATGCTTTTTAATTTCCGTCAGCGGATGCAGTGGCGCAGCAGTGGGAAAGCCAGAGAAACAAAAGCGCGGATGAAAGCAATGGCCAGGCAGCTCCAGGAGCTTCCAGCACAGAGATGAAGGGCCATGGAGACTGGAGTCTCCTCTCTCCCTGTTGGTCAAAGATGAGGTACGGCGGGGGGCCGTGGCAGGAAGGAACCTTGTGCTGCCACTGCCTGTTGGCAAGACCATTTCATGCAGACATGATGCCACTTGCAACAGGTCTTGGCAATGGCTGCGAAGCCAGGTCGTGGTGGTGAGACCTTGGTCTGGAGCAGCCCAAGATTCACTGAGGGTAAGAGACGGGATGGCTGAATGGGAGGCAAGCCACCATGCATTGGGACCCTGCACAGAGCCCCGCTTGCCAAGCCTGGAAGTGCCAGTGCTGGGGTCCCCAGGAAGCCCTGAGTCATAGGGCTACCGTTCAGCATTGGCAGCTGGATCCAGATGGGCTTAGGCCCAGGTTCAACAGTGGGAGGCTCCGGGGAGCCAGGGGCGAGCGACACTTACCTGAACTCCGATGGACGGGCGCCATTTCCTCTGCCGTGCCAAGCTCCTCAGCTCTTCCCGGCCCGGGATGGCCTTGATGATGAGTGTGGACGGCTTGGGAGAGCCCCGGGGCTGGACGGGAGGCAGATCCAAGGAGATGGCTGTCACCTTGGAGTTCTCCAAGCTCTCCGTGGAGTTGCAGCGAGCCGCGGCGTCTTTGGACCACGAGGGGCTCCGGGCGACCTCGCTGGGGAGGTAGCTCTCGTGGGTGGATTCAGTGCTGCTCTGTGCCGTGACTGAGATCAAGGGCTTGGCTTTGATTCCTGGAGGGAGGGGAGGCGGCGCTTTTCTGTAACTGAAGGCTGTTGTGGGAGAGGCACACGATAAAAAGTCAGGTGAGAAAGAGACACGTTCTCATTTCCGAACGCGAACACCGGCCAATCCCGCCTCTTCCTCCGGCTTCCCCATGGTGTGCCAGGCCTAGCAGTCAGATCCTCGGCTACTGAAGTCAGGCCCGTTTACACCAGCCGAGGAATTGGCCCTACGTTGCCGCACCACCAAAGGTTGCATACCCCACACACCCTGCCAGTTAACCGTGAGCTTGTGACGAGAGGCATTAAAAGTTTCGTTTGCTTTTGGACTGGCTGCTTGGCCAATTCATCCACTAAACCCAAAGGGACCAGACGACCCTCCAATGAGAGGGAAGATCAGTGCACTCTTGTGCTGCACACGTCATGAGGCAGGCAGGCAGACAGAAAAAGGGAGAGAGAAACGAGAGAAGGAGAAAAACAGAAAGACAGGAAGAGAGGAGGGGAAACCCGAAATAAATGCCGAGAGGAAGGTGGAGACCAGGCAGGAGGATTGACGGACAGACAGACAGACAGGGGTGTTGGCTGGCTGGAGCGACATGTGCCAGCCACATGAGATGCCACCTCAGTGAAGCTGATGTTTCCAGCCAGCCAGAGAGCTGCCTGGGGGCTGGCAGTACCCACAGCCTCACGGCAGGTGAGCCCACGGGCAGCTTAGCCCGGCCCTTGGAGGGCATCCCAGAAAGCCGTTCAAGATGGCGGCAAAGTGCGGCAGTGGGAAGCTGGAGTGGTGAGCCCACTGCGTGCCATCTATGGGAAGGGGGAGGTAGGTGGGCAGGTCCCTCTATGGGGAGGAGTTGGCAGGGGGGTGCCTATGTGGGAATGGGAGGGGTTTGGTGTGAGGGGTCCCCCTGTGGGAAGGAGTTGAAGGGGGTCCCTCATGGGAAGGAGAAGGGGCTGGTGTGGGGGCCCTCTGTGGGAAGGAGGAGGGGCTGGTGTGGGGGCCCTCTGTGGGAAGGAGGAGGGGCTGGTGTGGGGGCCCTCTGTGGGAAGGGGGAGAGGCTGGTCCGGGTGGGTCCCTCTGTGGGAAGGGGCTGGGGTGGGTGTGAGGTCCCTCTGGGTCCCGGCAGGACTGCCCAACCCGCCCATCCCTGTACGAGTGAAGGGCCCCTGGGAGCAGCACCATGGGGCAGGGGCAGGGACTCACAGGTGCTGGGCTTCAGGATGCTGCTGGTGATGGCTGGCCTGGGCGGGACGGACATGGAGAAGAGCGAGAGGCAGTCGTCGTCCTGGGAGCAGCCCGCCTGGATGGCCCGCAGGTAGCTGTGGCTCCGCATGCGGAAGCAGCCAGGCAGGTCCAGGGCCTCCACGGCCTGGGACTCCACTTCGCCGAAGACAGACTCGCAGACCGCCTCAAACTGGTGGTTCAGCTCCTCGTTGATCTGAGGGGAGAGTGGGGCAGATGAGGGACCTGGGCAGCTCTGACAGGGTCCAGCGCCCCCGCCCCCAGCACCATGCTCCATGGAGATACCAGAGGGGCTACAGGGGACAACTCGCTCTGGCCCCCGCTGGCAGCTCCAGGGCTAGAGGTGATACTGATATGGCTGGAACAGTGAGGGCCCTGCATCCACCCCTCCCTGGTCACCCAGACCCTTTGACGCCAGCCAGCGGGGGACCCTGGGGCTTCACCAGGCAGAGCAATGCAGAGCCAGCCGCCCGCACCCTGCCCCCTACGGAGCTCCCTCTGGAGGGGCAAGATGGGCACTCGGTCTCCACACCCCCAGCAATCCCTGGCCTCTGCTGAGCCTGCCAGTCAGCGTGGCACACGCTGGCTTCGCTGAGGCGGACGCCTGTCCACTGGGAAGTCGACCGAGACCCACCAAACTCATTGCACACAGGCTGCCAAGATGCCAATTGTTACCATCCCCCTGGCTGGATTTGACCCAGCGACCCAGAGAGGAAAGTCTGACAGTCCCATTGCCAATCTCCCTCCCACTGCCAGGGCCTCTGCCCTCTGCTGCAGCTACCTCCTCTGGGGCATGAGAATCTGCCACGAGGGAAAGGTCCGACTGATCGTGCCGGGCTTTATTTCAGTGCAGGTGCTGCCTGGAGCCCAGCTGTGACCCACTGAGCGGGGGTGACGCCCAGTCAAGGTTTCCATCCATTGCAGCACGTCCCTGGAGCACCTAGAAGGTCTCTACCTCTGCTCTTGACAGAGACCAGGCAGACATCATTGCCCACATCCTGGTGCTGGGCCCAGGAGTTAGCACAGTGACTGCAGGGGGCCCTGGTGTTTGCTGGGGAAACGCGGCACTGAGACAGTCACCCAAAATTCAAACCCATTTCTGAGGGGAGGCGAAGTCTGTCCGGGCAGCACTGGGATTATGGGAGAGACAAGCTCTTCCCTAGATGTTACCAGCCAGGCCTGGCACAACCAAGAGGTTCAGAGTTCAGAGTAGCGTCCAGACTTTTGGGGAAGCTGATCCAAACCAACTCCGAATTATCACAGCACTACACTAAGGTTCCTCGTTGGTGCTGGATGGCTCGGGGAGCCCTGCACTACGAGGTCGCTGGTTTGAATCCAGCTCCAATCACTAGTGTCCTCCAAAGTCATTAGCACTTAGTGCTCGTTTGATGCCCTCTATGAGATGTATCAGTGGGAGAGAAAACCTCAGCTGGTGAAAAATATGGAGCTCAGCTGGGCAGAGAGGCCAGCAAGTGAAAGGGCCCCGGACGCTGAAATCCCCTCACCAATTCTGGAAGGACTCCAGATTGTAGCACTTTGGAAGGGCAGCCTGGGCAGCTTACCTGGCCACTGTCCGGGCTGCCCCCATCCTACAGACGCATCAGTTGGGTACCATTCCCTGGGGCTAACATGCACGCAGAAGGAGGGGCAGATAAACAGCCTATGCTGGGAGCAGAGAGGAGGGGCCAAGAACGAGAGCCACCTGCTGATCCCAGGGGCCTCTTGTGGCTAGTCAAGCCCCTGGGAAGACATGAGAGCGCTCTGCATGGCCACCAATGGGAGGGTCACGGCCGGCCCAGGCAGGGCTGCGGAGGAAAGGCCGGTAGCGTGCAGACAGTGCTCTGCGTTACCGTATGAGCAGAGAAAGGACAGCGCTGACCAGACGGGGAGCAGAAGCAGAGCCATTGCGGGGAAGGGGCAGAGCCTCGCTGATGCATGCAGGGAACCTGCTGCCTCCCCAAGAATCAGCATCGCCATGCTGCAGATTAGCACATGCAACGCAAGGGTGGGTGGGACGTGAGGGGTCAGGTGTCCATGTGCCACAGAAGGGTCAGTGGAGAGCAGCCAGGCCCGTCCCGTGTCTCAGACGCTGCTGCCACTTGGGAACCTCGAGTCCGATGCCCAGCTCCAGTGGGCTCCACTCAGCACCTAGCGTGCAGAGCTCTCCTCAGCTCCAGCCACTCCTTCAGCAGCCCGAGCGTATGAGCTCCAGCAACTGAGGGCACAGGGCAGTCAGGGCACGAGAGCCAGGCGCCGCCACGGGCACTGCCCACCTTACCTGGCCGGTGGTGAAGGAGCGTCCGTAGCCCTGTCCCCGAGGGTGCAGTCTGGGCGGGGTGCAGCAGCTGGGACAGTTACAGATATATGAATCAGAATAGTGCCTACTTGCAAACCTAATGAGAGACAGTGGGGGAAAAAGGATTCGGACCAGAAGCAACATGTTCAAGCAGAGCATTTGGAAACAGCCCAGTGACTGGGCTCCTGTCTGCAGCTGCTGCTGCTGCCGCCCCCTGAACCTGGCAGATCATCGTCTCCGCCCGCCATCCCAATGCGAGCTCACCACCACCTCTACAGTCTCCCCAGACAGCCCGGAGCAAGGAGGGGATTCCCAGAGCCCTCGCTGGGTTAGGCTGGGCTCACAGATCATCACGCACCCGCACAGCAGAGGGAGGTGCCGATAAGCAGGGCAGGCAGCAGACCCATGGTGGCCGTGCGGGGCTGGCAATGGGGCAAGGCCACTGAGAGAAACAGAGCAGGTTAACCAGCAGGTGTGTCCTTACCTGGGCCACCAACACCTGAGAGCACTACAGCCATGTCAACACAGGGACTGATGTGATCCCCTAACACAGCACAATGTACACCAGCCCAGTGCAATCTGCAACCGTGCAAACTCCTATTGCAGGCCTGATTTACACCACTCTAGTGCAATGTACAATGGTGCAAACACAATTTGCCCCAGTCCAGCATAATTGACACTAGTGCAAACTCTTAATACAAACACTGTTTTCACCAGTGCACTACAATTTACGCCAGTGCAAACCCCTAGTCTAAAAACTGCAGCATGATTTGCACTATTGCAGTTTACCCCAGTAACCCTCCTCTTTTCCCTGCCCCACTCCTGCAACAGAGATAAACTGCACCCATGTGAAATCCCCCTGTGCTGGTGCAAACTGTGTTTGCATCCCTCTTAGCCAGGGGTGTGCAGCAGTGGCTAAAATCCCAGCATAGACAAGGCCCAACCCTTAGAGAGACAAACAGTTCAAACTTTCTCTGAACCCCAATACAGTTTATTTTAACTTTGGGGTTTCACTCACTGTCCTGGTTTCACAGATCTGCATACACAAAAATGCCCAGACACTTGTGCACCTAAGGCCCGATCCTGCAATCAGAGCCCCTCATGTGCACCCTGCACCCACACAGAGCCTTCCCGAACTAGGTCTGGGCCCACTGATCCAAGCACAGGATCAGGCCCTTATATGCAAATACAGCTGCAATAATTGCACATGCAAATGTCCACGTAAGCTGGATATCATTGAGCAGAGCCATGCAATCAAACCCATGGGCGTTTTGAACAAGCGTTTCTGAAAATCTGGGTCCTTGAAAGTAGACCGAACACTTGCATTTCTTGTTTATGGCAGCCCTGCGAAACTGACCATTTCCTAGTGCAAAATCTACTTACTAGCACTCATGGAGGACAAAGAAAACTGAAAGATTTTAATTGCCTGGAAATTCTCCCTCACGCCCCGGCTCTCCCAGACTGAAAGATCTACTGGGCAGGGACTTCCTCCTTTGATGTGTATGTGCAGCACCTAGCACAATGGGGTGCAGTCACAATCTGGGTCTTTGGGCACTACCTTAGTGCACATAATAACGAATGAATACAACAGGCCAGTAGAATCTGGTAAGGCTGGTCAGTTTCATACTCAAATGTCCCTGCACTAACCTGAGCCTAGGATGTTTAGGTTGCAAATCTGCAGGAGGGTGGGATGCGTGGGAAAGTTGCTGAAATCCCTGGATTTATGGAGTTTCCCTTTTAAAAAAATAAACTGTGTATTTTAGCCTGAATTCCCTGCCAGAGAACCCTTGGAATCCACCTCTCACTAAAGCCTAAGTAAAGCAACCCCCAAGTCCCTGCACCCACTGCCCCCACATCCTCCCCAGACCACTCCTCTCCCACCCTAAACCCACATCCTCCAAAATCCTCACCCCAAACCCCACCTCCCTGCCCCTCTCCAAGCCTGCATCCCCAGAGGCGGTTCAGAGCCGGCCTGGCCCCTCAGGCCCTCTCTTACTTGGTCCTGGCCTGGTCTACGCTGGAGGAGCGGCGGTAGCCATCTCGCCGGAACAAGCCCTTGGGAGACACCTTGGCGCTGGCCTCCGAGTCGCCGCTGTCGTCGTCCCCCATGGCCTTGATGTAGCTGCCGCTCCGCATCCGCCGGCAGGGGATCTCGCCGTCCTTCCCCACCGCTGGGTAGCTGCTCCACTCGTCCTGCGGCACCTGCAGCAAAGAGAGCCCCACGGAGAGCGGTCGGGTCAGGGAGCCCGGGGCAGTGGAGCGCGCGTGGGGACAGAGACGACGCGGAACGGTTGATAGTGGCGGAGGGGGCGCACAATGTAAAGGTTCTGGTGGTGTGCAGCAGGAGTTCTTGGTAGAAATCTGGGGGGCACAGCCTGCAGCTCAAACCCGAGCCCCAAAGTCCAGGGCACTGGATCTGACCTCCAAAGTCCAGGACTCCGGGCCTCGCAGGGTTTGATTCAGCCCGTCTCTGCCCCAAAGCACGTCAGCAGAGTTTGGTTCACTCCCCTCCCCGCTTCCTCTGCTTCCCAGTGAGGCCGCGCTCTAGCAGGGAGGAGATTGTGTGAAATGGACTGTTCTCCTGCTGATGCCGGCTCTGCTAGAACCAGAAACTTCCTGTTCTGACCTGGCCTGGGCTCTGCTCAGGGGTTCCTGGAGCTGGCAGAAGCATCGGATCTTCTGGGGGCCCCTGTGAGCCTTCTGCGGCTCAGCTCCCACCACCCTGCCTTCCCCTTTGCAAAGGGGAAGTGGATTCGGGGGCCGCGTGTCTGCCAGGGTGGGGTTCCTTTCGCTGAGCTGCCAGGCACAGCTCACAATGGCTGGAGCTGGCCTCCCAGCACTGCACAGCTGGGGGGTCAGAACCTGCCCCCAACTCCCAAACAAAGGCCAGCTGGCCTGGGCAAGCTCAGTGCCCTCAAAGAGAGAGCCTCGTTTCTCTCCTTACCCCTGACAGCCTCCACGCTCAGTGCCCCACAGCCCCCTGGCGTGGCCCACCCCAGTCTGTTCACTGCCCCCCACACCAGCCAACCCCCCCCCCAACCCTCATCCCTTTGCACGGGCTCTCTGGACACAGCTGGTGTCTCAGCTGAGGAACTCCCCCCATGCGATACTCAGAACTCCCACCTCACAGCGCCCCCAGCAGGCGAGGCTGGGACAAATCTCACCCATGGCCGGCGCAGCCATGGCCAGGCCCTCTGCCAAGGCACCGTCCCGATGGCGCCAGCGCCCTGGGGTCCTGACCAGTTTCCGGTGATGGGACAGCATGCCCTGGGCTATGAGCACAAGAGCAAAGCAGCTGGAAGGGAACCAGAGACCCAGACAGACAGAGGCGCCTTTCCGGCCACTCAGAGGGAACACAGGAACGAAAGTGGGTCCACTTCCCACATCTCTCGCTCCCCTGCCACGTCCCCACTTGGGTAGCCCGGGCTGGGAAGGCAAGCAGGTGGGGAAGGGGCCAGGAGAACCTGGTCATCCCCTCCCCCACCCGGGAAAGAGAAGGGCTAATTAGTTTTTAATTGGTAAAGGGTGACCTATCATGGAACCCAGGCAGAGGGGCCGGCCAGCAGCGCTAATGCAGGCATTAAAGGGTTAAACACCCATGGCCACCACTTGGGAAGGGAGCTGGCAAAAGCCTATGGGTGGGGGGGAGAGGGGTGTTTGCACCCGCCCAGCCAGGCAGGGTGGGAGCCCGGCACCATCTCGTATTGCGCACAGGCCGAGGAGCTGGAATCAGGGCTGGCAGATGGTTTGACCCCAAATCCAGGGGGGACGATGGGAGACGGGTGAAGCTGGGAGTGGAGCAGTTCAGGAGAGGGTCAGGTGCCCACACAGCGTTTTGGGAGCAGACAGCACAAGGGGTGCATCCGCCAGCTGAGACAGGCAGCCGTCAGTAGCTCAAGGCTGGGCCAGGGAAGAGCTGATGAGCCAATGTTGGCGAATCCCTTCATTCCCCTCGTTCCAGCCAACAAGGGAGCTGCGGTGATTTGGGCCCGGCGTCGGGCAGATGGGCCGGAGATAGGGAGTGACAGCTGAGCTAACCAGCCTGGTATCCGGCCAGCAGCCCTGCATAGGCTCCAGCGCTGGCCATTCGACTCCCCGTTCCTGGGGGCCGCAGCAGAGCGAGGGGAATCCCCGGCCGGAGCCTTCTCACCTGGAGCGGCTCAGCCCAATGAGATCGAACCTGAGGCAGGGCCAAGGAGGCTCATGGGAATTTCGTTTTCCCACAAACCTCTCTGCTATCTCCCCTGCCTGAAACCCAGCTAGCCACTACCACGGGAAGAGGGGGCAGCTCCAGCTGCCAGAAGCCATCGATACTGGTTGTGACAGAGCCATGCCCCAATGAGAAGGTGGAAACTTTCATGCCCTGACCACCCCAGTCACATATGTGCCCGCGGGCAAAACACACCGTCAACGAACCTGAGCTGAGCACAACCTCTGGGGTTGCTTGGCACCTCTCATCCCCAAGGCTGCCAGGCGCTGCCAAACAGCAAACAACCTCCTGCTCCGCCCAGATGTCTAAGTGGCAGGGGAGCCACTGGGGCTGGGGCCTAGAAGAGTGAGACCCACTGCCCCATTGCATCTTGGGACAGCAGTTCTGCTCCCTCCTACGCAAACCTGGAGTGACCCCACTGAAGCCCAGTGGCGACGCCCCAGATTTACAGCAGCACGAGCGCCGAATGTGGCCCTTCCTGGCCCCACAGATCAGCCAGGGCGTCCGTTTCCCACACCGCAGCATGGAGTGATGCGCAAAGACTGGCTCACGGGTGTAAATCCAGAGAAGCTCTGCTAAAGCCAGTGGCGTTGCTGTGGATTTACGCCAGCGTTACTGGGGGCAAGATTTGGCCCAAAGTATCTCCTGTCCCTTGGAATGACACCAGGGTGGGGCAACCCTGCTGGGATTCCCCCAGAGTGCTGGACTGGCTCCTGCCAGGCCTCTCTCAGACCCAGGGCGGCAGAAAGGGACCAGCACGCGGACAGGATCTGGCCCCAGAGATCTCACACGCAGGTGCCAACACAGGCCCACTCCCCGCCCCCCTCTGTTCGCAGCGCGGGCCAGGCACCTCTACCATGGAGAGGCTGGAGCTGGGCCAACGGCAGGAGGGGAAGGCCCGGCGCTGATGGGCTCGTTAGGCAGGCAGATCATTTACATTTTTCCAATCTGTGCTAAGTGGCGCGAAACAAACAGCAGCATTGCTCAGCAAAGAGCCGGGAAGCCTGGCCCCACGAGGGGCGCGGACACACACGCCTGCAGGCCTGATTTTTCAATCATGCTCCTCAGACAGCAGCTCAGGTGAAGACTCCTGGATCTGGCCCAAGAGCCAGAGGGCAAGGTCTCGGTTTCCCCTTCAGACTGGAATGCCTCAGCCGGGGGCGGCTTCTGCGCTGCCTCTGGGACAGCTACGCTGGCTGTCCAAGAGGCACGTGTGTGCAGGGGAGGGGGCCGGCGGAGGGGGTGCGGTGGCAGGGTTAGAGCTGGGGCACGCAGGCCCTGGGGGTTGCCCTTCGGGAGCCAGGGAGCGCTGCGAGGGCCTGTGAGGTGCACTCTACAGAGCAGGCCGGAGAGGACTCCTGGTGGGCTAGCCCAGGGCTTGGACGGAGCTGTAAGCGCTGGATAGGTCATGTCACCAGCTGCAGGCCCTGGCAAGGTGGGGTGCCCAGGTGAGGCGGGTGCTTTGGGGTTTGGAAAGCCCCTGCCCTGTTAAGCTGCACTCCTGCAGCACGCCGCTGGGGCCTGGGAGCAGAGCCAGCTCACTCCCCATGTGCTCTCCGCACACGGGATGGGACGGGAGCCACGGCCTCAGAGCAGCCTGGAAGCCTGACAGCGAGCGATTGATAGAGCCAGGGAGAGCATGGGCCAGCACGAGGCAGGTTTCCCTTCAGCTCTGCCGCTGCATCTCAATCCTGACCCACAGCCCCAGGCTTCCACACAGCTCTGCCGATGCCCCTCAGTCCTTACCCGCCACCTCCTCTCTAGCCCGGTCCTCGGCACAGCTGGACAATGGACAATGTGGGGCCCTGGCGCTGGAGTGGCAGGACACGCGGCAGGCCAGTATTGAGGGGCAGGCTGGCACGGCTGCCTGCAGGAAGCCAACACTCAATCCCTGCCCATGGCATGCCAGGTTACTAGCCAGTTCCATCTGCCACCCGCCCAACCCACCCAGAAACATCAGCACGGTGAGGAAGAAAACAGGCTGAGCCCACGTGGAATGGAAGGGAGGGGGTCTGCCCTCCCAGCTCCCCATGGATCCCAACATGGGAAAACCACCCAGCGAAATCCAGCCCATTCCATGGAGAACCCCAACTGGCAAATCCCCTCCATGCCCAGCCACTCCGAGACCCTGGGGACAGGGTGACCAGACAGCAAATGTGAAAAATCGGGACAGGGGTTGGGGGGGTAATAGAAGCCTAATAAGAAAAAGACCCCAAAATCGGGACTATCCCTATAAAATTGGGACATCTGGTCACCCTACCTGGGGAGGAGGCTGTTACCAGTGTAAATGCTCCCACAGGCCGGTTTCAGTGGTGGAGACTATCTCCGCTCCGCTCTGCGCTCTCCCTGCTATTTCTCCGCTGCCAGGCAGCCTGGGGTCCACCTAGTCACCCCCAGAACAGGGTCACTGGAGTGAGGCCACAACCTCCCTTTGCCCAGCTGCCCTCAGATGGGAACAACATTTTGTTACTGAGAGGATGGTTTTCAGTGGCCCTGATTATTACTGGCATTACCGTAGAGCAGCAGTTCTCAAACTAGGGGGCGGGCCGCCCCAGGGAGGCAGGGGAATGTGTCAAGGGAGGCCCAAGCGTGTGCTTTTTCTGAAGAACTCTGGCTTTCAGCCCCGGGTGGCTGGGCTCGCGCTGAAGGGCCGTGCACACCTGGGAAGCGGGGATTAAGGGAACAGCTGGAGCCCCACTGCCCCGGGGCTCACAGCCAGAGCCCCGCCCCCCAGGCTCAGGCTCTCCTTCCCCCTCCCTCAACCCCTCACCTGGGTGGGGTGGGGCTCCAGCCGTCAGCCCCAGGGTGGCAGCAGTAGCACAGAAGGATGGCAATGGGGTGCTGTCTGCTGTGAAAAGTGATATTGACAAATATCCCTTTTAACATTGCGTCCCTTACTTCTGTGCAGCCGCCGCCGCCCTCCCCTCTGCCCTGAGAGCCGGGCGCCCCAGCCAGGAGCCGCCGCCGCCTCTCCCCTCTGCCCTCAGAGCCG